GATTATAATCTTAATTATCATCTTAATTATCCATCTTAATTATCACATACCAAGGAAACAAATTGGGACACATGGTAAGGCTCAAAATACATACCCACAAAATTATTCTGCTGGGAGCAGAAAATCTTACTCAGTCATTACTCACCACACAGCCTAGCTAGCGTGTATAGCCAGTTATTAAAATACTCGTACATGTATGAACAATATAGTGTGTAGCTCTAAGCTGGAATAGGCCTCTACTGGAATAGTCTACACCAGTGGTGGCATACCTATGGCACAGGTGCCAGAGGCGGCACTCAGAGGGAGGGAGGGAGGGAGGGAGAGAGGGAGGGAAGAAGGGAGGGAGGGAGGAAGGCAAAACCCAAACAAACCATATAGTGAGTTAATGTGACATGTGAATCCTGCCCATATATAGCAGCCATCTAAACAGACTATGTTCAAGGAACATGCAATTCTGACTAAATCTGAAGGTGTTTTCTTAAATTTAGCTTTTGAGGCCCTGAGCTTTAGTACCGGATAGTTCTCCATGTTTCTTTCAAAGAAAGAAAGAAAGAAAGAAAGAAAGAAAGAAAGAAAGAAAGAAAGAAAGAAAGAAAGAAAGAAAGAAAGAAAGAAAGAAAGAAAAAGAGAGGTAAGAATAAAAAGTCTAGCTTGCAATGTATTTGGGGGGGGGGGGAACAACATCAACTAATATTATTCTGCCAAACAGAAGCTCATTCCCATTATGCGATGTTAAAACTGCAATCTACTTTCAACATTCCCTAGACTTCACAGTTCACAAAATATTAGCCATTTCACTCTCTGGATCAAAAGGACAGTTCTAGACTCCTGCTCCTCAGCTAATGGAGTAGAATCATGATCACAGAGCAGCAGTAGGTACAGTTCAAACCAGTGGTGGGATTCAGCCGGTTTGCACCACTTCGGCAGAACCGGTAGCTAATTTTTTGTTGCCCAGGCCCAGAATGGACTTCCAGAAGTGGCATCCACACAGAGAACCAGTTGTTCATATATTTGAATCCCACCACTGGTTGTAAGTGTAAGGATTGCTTGTAAATCACTTTTTTCAGTGTTGTTGTAATTTCAATCATCCACACAGAGAACTGGTTGTTCACATATTTGAATCCCACCACTGGTTCAAACTAGGGGCAGAACCAAAAATAACTACTTTTAGGTTTATTGCTGTATGTGAACCTTCTCAAAAGTGTTCTTATGGTCATATAGTCTTATATTATTTTTCGTGTAGGTTGGGGAAATAACAGACTGGTTGAGTTTCAGCCTTGAATATGAAATAATATAGCTTGCCTTGGCATGCAAAAGAGGGCACATTTGCCTCATTGCTTCAGGGAGCAAGATTTTTTTTTTTGAGCCTATTTTGATAAATAGAGCCAAATGACAGTTCAAGCCATGTTATAGTTTAAAGAAAATCATGTTCAAAACATCATAAGAAGATAAATCTAAACTGGGGATACTATATCTTAACTTTCTTTTTGAATGTTTTGAAAACCTCATTGTATAGAAGGTCACACAATTTTGTTAAAGCCATGTAGAATTTTGCTGAATTCGATATTGAAAATACAGCTTTGAATATGATGAACCACAAAAGATATATGTAAAAAAAATCCAGAAGGAAACTGTGTTTGTGGAGTATATTCATTTCCTTATTTTGTCACAGACATATATATGATTTCAGGTGTTTTTAATGCTCCTATAATAGGCTTACAAAAAAGACAACAATCTTTCGCTAAGATTTTGATTGACAAGTTAAGTGCAATCTTGCCTTCCAAAAGCAGAAAATGGAATGGAATGGAATAGGATAGGATAGGATAGGATAGGATAGGATAGGATAGAATAGAATAACAGAGTTGGAAGGGACCTTGGAGGTCTTCTAGTCCAACCCCCTGCTCAGGCAGGACACCCTATACCATTTCAGACAAATGTTTTCCCAGGTAGTATTCAAACATTTTTTTTCATCAGTGCAATGTCACCTCAACCTTAATCACCTTGCTGTCATTCAACAATATTGTTCAATAATATCTCATTGCCACTAGGTAACCCAAGTATCACAAGGCAAGGAGCAAGGAAGACTAATGCAAGATTGGAAAACGTTGGGAAGCATGCCGGCAGCTCATCCTCGTGAAGTCACGCTAAGAAGCTCATGCTGCATTTCTTCCTTCTACAAGAACTAACCAGAGTTTCAGCAGGGGGCAGCATCAGACTGACCTTGTGTGAGTTTAAAAACTATGCTGGGTTGGGCCAGAAGAGGATTTGGATGGAAATGCCAGGAAAGAAACAGGACTGTAGAATAGACTTTAAAATAGGGGGGGGGGGGGAACACGCACAAGGAGACAGTGGTGAGCTACTTTTATGTCCTTTGCATGACAGTTCCATGAAGTTACCAGGACAGAATCTTATTTCAAAGGAGACTTGAATCCTAACTTTAAAATATGTACCACCATGTAATAGCTTCATGTACTTTCTGTAATGGAAGAGAATTAAGATATTATAATTGTTTTTCAGAGGGACAAAAAAGATGTAAAGGGAAACCAGAACCAGAAAACGTTCTTGCTGTTGCCTACCGTTGGCTGCTTTTGCTTCTCACTCCATGACTCACTTATTCAATCGATCGTATCTAGAAGTCTTTCCTGGATCTTGTTCCATGACAAAGATGTTTCTTGCTTGCATAGTAGACTCAAAGGGAGAGAGGACCCCCCCCCTGCTCATGGTCTCAGTGGGATAGAAAGATCAGACAGGTGGAAAAAAGGTCTTTTAAAACCTTTCTGTGAGTCATCAGTTCTTGAGTTGAGTATTCAATTAATTAATTAATATGCTACCCCTCTCACTGATAAGGAAACTTTAGGCAGCTTAGAAAAAGATAAATGTAGAAACAATTACAATTTACAACATTATATAAAAACTAGAAACAAGGAGATAGGAGGCATGGGGTAAGATCTTCTTAGCCCATTAACCACTTCCCATGATGAGTATCCCCTTCAGGGATCCAAGCCAACTGGTAAAACCAGGTTTTGATACTCTTTTGGAAGGTTGGAAGGGTGAGAACAGTTCTCACTTCTGGTTATACCTGATTATATCAACCTATACTTGATTCCTGCATTGTTCTTTTTTAAAATCATTTTTAAATATAAGGGAATGTAGAAAATCAGGAATTGTACAGCATCTTAATGTCTCAGAAGTTTCCATGGATGAGAGTCTACTTCAGGGGTGTCAAACTGCCAGCCATCATGATACGTCACAACACATCCCATGACGTCACAAGTTTGACACCCCTGGTGTATTTTATCAGATTTCTGACAGAAAACCTCTTTCTACACAATCAATTGTGGAGGAGAATAGGGGGAAAAGCCAAGGGTGGGGAGGTCAGGTACCATGAGATGAAATGACTTTAGAAGTGAGAGCAGAGGAACAAAGTTGCTTATTAATAATAAAGAAGTAGCAAGCAACAACAAAAGTCTTATTTCCTGTAATCATCTGATCAAAAGATCAGATCTGACACAAATATGTAAGTTGGGGCATTTGTATGAAGATTGTGCAACTGGGAGAGTTATAGGAAAAATAGAGCACTGTAACTTTCATAAAAAATGCCTATTTTGCAGAAACTCATACAATCCAAGATCATAAATGACAGCAACTTCAATCCCTATGATTCTCAAAGATATTTGTTTGATGTAGGCTTTAGTTTTTAGGTTGCAGTTCTCAAAGGATTCTGATTCTTTGCATGTTTACCTGATGCTGATCATAGAAGGATTCCAGTTACATACAGTGGCACAGATGTTTATGAAATATCTCTGGGTTTCATAATAAAGATATTATTAAAATTAGTCAAGGAATATTCTCTTCTTCCCACACAAAAAAGTATCTGCAGATAACGAGGCTGAACCAGAAGGAGGGGGTGAAGTGCATCATCGGTCTAGAGTCCTTTCATGCCACAAGAGATCTAAGTCCAGTTGTCTTTGAATTCCTTTTACTCTTATCTACTGCCAATTTGCTTTGACCGTTAGTAGTTCAGATTCTTGTAGAAAATATTAGCATGCAATAAACCTCTAGTCATTTGAACTGCCTTGCTTCCTGATTTATTGCACCTGACAGTACCACAACAAGAAACCTTATACAATGAATTTTAAAGACAAATTAAGTTTGAAAAGATTTAAGATTAAAGAATAATTAAAATATTGAGATGAAATTAGGCTTAATAAGAACTTTGACAAAAGGATATATAGTGATTTAACAAATCACTTTTTATAAATAGAAGTGAAATATAAATTGATTAGAAAAGATGTGATAGGTAGATTATATGATAGATAAGTAGTATAGTATTTTTATAATATATGAAATATGAAAATACTGGGATGATATATTTAAATGGAAAATTTGGATATTTAGATGTTAATTACTGAGAAAATTGTGATTGATAAGAATTTTTTGAATATTATGGAGAAATTGAGCTTAAACAAGATTTATGAAAATAATGAGAAAAGGTCCTGAGTCAAAATAAGAAGCCGGCATCATCTTGCACTCTTTATACACAAGTGTAGTCAACACACATAAACTATATCTACAAGTCCTATAAAGGTTTAAGAGAGCAAGGATTGAAACAAGAACAGAATGAGTATTTATATGGGTTGATGCCAAACACCTGGATTACCGTATCTATTAGCAAAAATTATTTAGGAGGCAACCTCTGGGATTTTTGAGAGAAGGTCAGGGATAATAAGATAATAAAAATTAAAACTTATTTACTATAGAAAAATCTCCTTTTTTGGTGGGTAGAAAGAAAAGCTCTCTTGGCCAAATAGGTTCCTTTTTCTGTTATTTAGTGACTTTACAGACACATCCCAGATAGTCAGGGATAGAAAGAAAACACATATGTTCATTCAGTTTAATCCACCCCATGCATCACTCACACGAAACCATTCAATTTGTGCTAATCATCTTAGCCTAAGCAATGGCTGAATCTCTGTAGTTTGTTTAGACAGCATACAAACCTTAATATAAGAACAATGACCCATGTTCTATGCATGACAGCTCCTGCAGGTCAAGCCAATCTCCTGGGAATTGTTGATTCAGTGTTAACCCACCAGGCCACAAGATCTTCAATTTCCATTCTCCTACAGGCCTTGTTCCTGTCACCTCTGCACCCTCAGGAAAACATCAGATCTTCCAGTCAAAGCCATTATCCTGCAGTCTCTTATTCTGTAGATTTCTGAGTCAAGTTTATTTATCAAGAAGAATATGTTTTGGAGCATGAGCTTTAAATTCAACAAAAACAGGACAGACTAAGTTCCTGCTGGCCTTCTGCATCAGGAGGAGATTCTGTTTAACAGGTTGCTAGGTAGGGAGGAGAAAGCTGCCTTTTGCTTCTTCCAGTGTGCTGCAATTTGGGTCAGAGACTGAAAAATAAAAGCTCTTTATTCACTCAGCTGCAAATGTTCCTTGTGCTTTTGAGACTGTTTTTCCCTCCAAGGAAGAAAATTGCACTCCACAGTACAATTTCCAGGATTAAATGGAAGGGATGAATGCAGTGGGCTGATTTGAAGCAGAGAGAACTGGAAGAAAAGGAAAGCTTTAGAAAAAAGCACAGTAACATGTGTAATAATTTTTTTGAGTAAACAACAGGGAATGTTTGCCTGGGGCATTCAGAAGCATTGTCTCTGGAATCAGGGTGCTGCTTCTCCCGATGGCTGAGCACAGCACCACTAAAGATGGCTGCAAAAGACTATCTAGCATTTGGAGTGACGTACAGGCGACTGGAACCATTTTGTTCCAGCTCATTCTGGTGGAAATATTGGAGCCTGGCTACCACAGAAAATTTTGCTCTTCCCTGTTGCATTGTTTTACCGTCATCCTTCACAAAACCATCTGGAGCCCACTTATGATTGCCTTTATTCTTAAAACATTGAAGACATACAAAGAATAACATGAGTCGATCACTCTTCTGCCAACTAAACAGGAGGAGGGTGAATGATGCTCAGCCTTCCGCCTCATTCCTGGGTTCTGCAGTTGGTGAAGTCTTACTCACACTCCATGGAAAAAAGGAAGTGCATATGTTGCTCTAGCTACTGCCCATCCTTTAGCTATGTTGTTGTGGATGTTTATTACAATAAAAATAAAAAAAGAAATATCCAAACTAACTTACCCTTCCCCCTTTCTCACTAGCATAATCATAGTTTTGCAATCAGAAGAATGGGCAAAAGGAGAAAATATATCCCCAAAATGCAGAAAGTCACCACAAACAGGACAGCCCAAACGCCAGGAGGCATGAATTCTTCCTTGTGATGGAACCAGATGGCCACCGGTTCCACAAAACTGCAACATTTCAAGGAAGATGCTAGCTTTGCTCTGATGAGGGTTGGCGCTGTGGTGTTCATTCATGCAGCACCCATTCATTCTTAATGCTTTCCCGATTTCCTTTGAAGTTCTTCCTGACAAAGCCAATTTTCACTGACCTGTTAACAAAGAGGGCAAAGCACATTCTTATGTACATCTATTTTTCTTCCAATAAATAGACCACATAGTAGACTACCTTGCTAATTTGCTTGCCTTAAAATTTCTCCACCATATTTAATGAATATTTTATCCATTTGGTAATTTTTGCTCATTCCAGTCTTTTTGTAAGACATTTAGTCTTCCTTTTTAGATCCATATTTCTTGTTCTACCTAGCTAGTATTTTATTTATTTATTATTTATTTTATTTATAAATAAATAATAGTATTCACTATGTAGAACATAGAATAATTGGGTTGGAAGGGACGCTGTCCAACTCCCTGCTCAATCATTCTGTTCTTAGCCAATAACACTACAGCATCTGTATATAATAGTTCACATATGTTTACATCCCTTCTAATGCCACTGTGAGCATTCCTTATATATTTATCCAGAATACATTAAACAATCCAGGACACATCATATAACCCAATTTTATTCTTTTCTCAATGATAAGCCCTTTGCTAAACATTTCATTTATTTTTGTGAATGATTTACTCCTATCATGTAGATCAGGCCACAGACCCTATTAGTTTTTTTGTTTTGTTTTTTAAATCCCAGAATCCCTGATCAAGAAGCAAAGATCTAGTAATAGTAATAGAAAATTGGCTGCTGAAAATCTTGATGTGGAGGATGGTAGAATTCCATATTATAATTGTGTTTTTATACTTCAGTAATATTGCCAAGATTATTTCACATGGTTAACATGTCCTTACCTGCTTTTGTTAAATTCCATCATTATCATTAATGAACTATATGTCAGTGAAATCAAAGCTCATCATATTACTATGTACACATATTATTTAAGGCATATTATTTGGATTACATAAAACAAAAATAATGTTTATAGTAGAATTAAGAGACTGAAGAGGTTACTCATTTTACATTGAACGTTTTAAAGACTCATGAATAAAAAAGTGATTACTTTGAAGAAAACCCTTGCTTCAAAGCTCTGGCAGAATTTTAGACTTAATTGTATGGTGGTTAGTAACAGAATAAGAAAGTTGAAAGTGATCTTGGAAATCTTCTCACTCAGTCCCCGGCTCAAGCAGGAGACCATATGTGATTCCATAGTGTTGGAGCCCCCATAAACTTCTGGAGGCAAGCCATTCTGCTGATTAATTTTCTCATTCTCAAGAAATTTCTCCTTGGTTCTAGATTGCTTCTCTCTTTGGTTAGTTTCCATCCATTACTTCTTTTCCTATCTTCAGGTACTTTAGACAACAGGTTGACCCCCTCTTCTTTGTGGCAGCCCCTTAGATATTGGAAGACTGCTATCATATCACCCCTAGTCCTTCTCTTTGTTAGATTAAATATACCCAGTTCCTGCAATTGTTTGTTGTGTGGTTTAGCCTCCAGAACCCTTATCATCTTTGTTGCTATTCTCTGCACTTTTTCTAGAGTTTCAATATCCTTTTTGTATCAGGCTGATCAACTGGATCAATATTTCAAATGTGGTCTTACCAAAGCATTACAAAGAGATACTAACACTGCATGTGACCTTGATTCTATCCCTCTGTTGATGCAGCTTGGCTTTTTTTTTCAGGTGTAACACACTGCTGGCTCACATTTAAGTGGTTGTCTAATTGGACTCCTATACTGTGCGACGAGTCCCCTGGACTACAAGGCGTTCAAACCGGTTAGTCCTGGAAGAGATCAACCCCAACTGTTCTTTAGAAGGCCAGATCCTGAAGTTGAAACTCAAATACTTTGGCCACCAAATGAGAAGGAAGGACTCACTGGAGAAGGGCCTAATGCTGGGAAAGATTGAGGGCAATAGAAGAAGGGGACGACAGAGAATGAAGTGGCTAGATGAAGTCACTGAAGCAGTAGGCGCGAGCTTAAATGGACTCCAGAAGATGGTAGAGGACAGGAAGGCCTGGAGGAATGTTGTCCATGGGGTCGTGATGGGTCAGACATGACTTCGCAATTAACAACAACTGTGCCACAGACATCTCCTTTTTAAAATATGCATGCCAGTTGGTTCTGTCCACTAATGGCTGCATATTACTGCTAAAATATGTGCAAGTATTTTTTTTTTTTACTTTCTGTGTACCCACCAGAGCTTCCTGCAACATAATAAACATACCAAAAGCCCCCTGCCCCCATGAGTTAATGGTGTGTAGGGTAAGTCACCGGTGCCCTCAATATATTGAATTGTTGTGTGGCATATGAAGCCTTCTAAAGCAACATATTTATTGTTTAAAATTCTACTTGTACTTTTCTTGGTAGGTGTGTCTTCTCTGTCTTTATCTGATTATTCCCACTAAATGCCTTTGGGACATTTTGAGACTGCTCTGTATCACTACCTATGTGCACTACTTTGGCTTGTTTGGAGAAGTAAATTGACTTTGGCGCTATGCCTGCTTATTTGAAAACAGAGCTAAAAGTGAATCTTTCCTGCCTTCCTTTGATAAAAAGGGTTTGTGGGCAATTTGTGTTCTCATTGGCAGAAATGTCTGCCTTGCCCTCATAGTATGCATTCTTCTCTCTCATTTCAACTACCTGCAAACATAAGGTAGATAGAGGTATTTGGCTAAGTACTCAGCTCTGAAGTGAATAAACTCTGCTCTCAACTTCAAATATGACAAAGGAAAGGTCTTTGAGTATTTCCATTTTACTAAATGCTACCCAATGCATACCCTTCTATCACAGTGTTATGGATGCAGGGGAGAAGGGAAGAATAGCATTTTTTAAATTGGGGAAGAACTTGCTCTAGTTTAATAACTTAATGGCACTTTTATACTCTGTCATTGGGCAGCTGGAGGAAATCCTGATTAGCTCATAATCTCTGCATGCTCTCAGTAACCCAAGAAGAAGAAGTGAAGAGATTGAGCAGTAGAAATGGTGCCATGTGGAAATGCCACCTGCATTACGAAGCAACACCCTCTTTTTTCTTTTATTGGGAACGATGTGTTCCATAAAGACTTTGGAGATTAATTTCTACTATTAGTATGAATCAGATGGGTCAATGATTTAACTTCATATAAGGTTTCTCCTTGGCTTCAAATATACTCTGTGTATCTCTATATTTACAGCCATGATGCATAAAGGTATATTTCAGGTATTCAGGCAATACAAGAAAAGACCTTAGTTCTATGCAGCCCATCCATATTGCTTATTGACTTTGAGCATGATAGTGCTGCTAATATTTAATACCACAAAAGAGTTGAAAATCAGGTTGTTTTAGAAACCATTCTATCATAATATATGCTGAACTTCTGTTAATGTTAACATTAAGAAAAGTTTTTTAATCACTTTGAAATTGGAAGATCCTTATGAAAATTAGCTGAAATGGAGCTATTCACTGGATTAACTAAATTATTTTGGCACCAGTGGTTGTAAATCCCACAAGCACATCTCTTCTCTTTTCATAAAAATATTACAGAAGGCATTTACATTTCTAGAAATTTTTTTGTGACGGCCCAGTGCCTTAAATAGCTGTTTTTTGTTTAGATTGCCTAGGGATGATTCTTGAGCCAGTTCTAGTAGCATAATTGTACTGCAATAATAAATCAATAGAAGCAGTGTTCAGTCCATCCGTAACTCTGTGTGACTACGTTGCATATATAAACTTGGGTTTCAATTGTAAAAATATATCTTAAAACTGTCCTGCTCCAGAATAAATTCAGATACACAAAGATGCTTTTGTGTCTCAAAGCAAATAAAGTATCACTATGCTGTTTCCATCAATTCATTATTTGTACTTTTACTTGGTATCACTTCAACTCCAAGCTTCTTTTCTATGATAATAATGGGCTAAAATTTCCATTT